GCTGAATCTAGTTTGTGGTGGTTATTCAAGCTGAATCTAGTTTGCGGTTGGTTATTCAAGCTGAATCTAGTTTGCGGTTGGTTATTCAAGCTGAATCTAGTTTGTAGTTTGTTATTCAAGCTGAATCTAGTTTGTGGTGGTTATTCAAGCTGAATCTAGTTTGTGGTTGGTTATTCAAGCTGAATCTAGTTTGCGGTTGGTTATTCAAGCTGAATCTAGTTTGCGGTTGGTTATTCAAGCTGAATCTAGTTTGCGGTTGGTTATTCAAGCTGAATCTAGTTTGTGGTGGTTATTCAAGCTGAATCTAGTTTGTGGTGGTTATTCAAGCTGAATCTAGTTTGTGGTGGTTATTCAAGCTGAATCTAGTTTGTGGTGGTTATTCAAGCTGAATCTAGTTTGCGGTTGGTTATTCAAGCTGAATCTAGTTTGCGGTTGGTTATTCAAGCTGAATCTAGTTTGCGGTTGGTTATTCAAGCTGAATCTAGTTTGTGGTGGTTATTCAAGCTGAATCTAGTTTGCGGTTGGTTATTCAAGCTGAATCTAGTTTGCGGTTGGTTATTCAAGCTGAATCTAGTTTGTAGTTGGTTATTCAAGCTGAATCTAGTTTGTGGTGGTTATTCAAGCTGAATCTAGTTTACGGTTGGTTATTCAAGCTGAATCTAGTTTATGGTGGTTATTCAAGCTGAATCTAGTTTGTGGTGGTTATTCAAGCTGAATCTAGTTTGTGGTTGGTTATTCAAGATGAATCTAGTTTGTGGTGGTTATTCAAGCTGAATCTAGTTTGTGGTGGTTATTCAAGCTGAATCTAGTTTGTGTTGGTTATTCAAGCTGAATCTAGTTTGTGGTTGTTATTCAAGATGAATATAGTTTGTGGTTGGTTATTCAAGCTGAATCTAGTTTGTAGTTTGTTATTCAAGCTGAATCTAGTTTGTAGTTCGTTATTTTATATTGGCTTAGGAGACGGGGAAGTAGCTATTAGTATATATTCATAATCGATGGAAATGAAAAAATTACGTCTTCATGTAAGACGACGTAAGACGACATCAGTTGATGCCGCTATGTTATCGCAAGTCGACGTCTCCATTTTTTACGACATCATGTTCTAGCCATCTTGGCGTTGAATTTAACGTCAATCTTCATGTCATTGGATGTCGACATAATAACTCCATTATCATTATAAAGTCAGTCGACGTCGTCATTATAAAGTCAGTCGACGTCGTCATTATAAAGTCAGTATACATATTCATTATAAAGTCAGTATACATATTCATTATAAAGTCAGTATACATATTCATTATAAAGTCAGTATACATATTCATTATAAAGTCAGTATACATATTCATTATAAAGTCAGTATACATATTCATTATAAAGTCAGTATACATATTCATTATAAAGTCAGTATACATATTCATTATAAAGTCAGTATACATATTCATTATAAAGTCAGTATACATATTCATTATAAAGTCAGTATACATATTCATTATAAAGTCAGTATACATATTCATTATAAAGTCAGTATACATATTCATTATAAAGTCAGTATACATATTCATTATAAAGTCAGTATACATATTCATTATAAAGTCAGTATACATATTCATTATAAAGTCAGATATTCATTATAAAGTCAGTATACATATTCATTATAAAGTCAGTATACATATTCATTATAAAGTCAGTATACATATTCATTATAAAGTCAGTATACATATTCATTATAAAGTCAGTATACATATTCATTATAAAGTCAGTATACATATTCATTATAAAGTCAGTCGACGTTGTCATCTTGACGTCATTTGATGCCACTATCACAACGTCAGTTTTTGTGTCCACGTGACATGCATTAATCACATAAGCCTAAACGTCAATAAATGAAAACGTAAAATGAACATTATTAGCTATGTGTATCAACTTATAATTTCAAGACCTGATTTTTAACCCCAATACCCACTAACCTACCCAATAAATCAGCCTACAACAATACTTACCACATTATGTTCAACAGCTGGCCATTTTAAAGCGTTCTCCATCACACCCCATTCAAAATTATTATAGAAGAAATCAGTGTACGGTTTGTTTTTATCTAGA